CGGTCTGGTTCTACGGAGAGGATCTGGAGAAAGCCGAGGATCTGGCTGCATCACGTTTCAGAGATGCGAGATCACGCGAAGATGTGGAGACGGGGAAGCAGATGCGGTCGATTGCTGCTGCGAAAAGGGTACGATCAGCTGAGATGAGACGCTGTAACCCTCGAAGTCCCGCTTAGGGCCAGTTTAGGGTTCAGGGCTTCGGCAGGAGCACCCCAGAGGGGCAAGCTTGGGAGAGGTTGGCAATAAAAACCCTAAACCCTAAGTGTCTTTCAAGCGATCTGAGGTTGGCTTCTCTGACTACTTCCGGTTCCCGGCTGTGCAGTACTTTGACTCCATACCGCATCTGTCTCTGGGCTGATTCACGAGTTTGCTTTCGTCACAAAGTCATGCCACATACTAGTTCTCAAGAGGAGGATGACGGTTGACGGTGAACTGAGGATATATGGCTTGTCTGTTCCATCATCTCTCTCAAACCCCCATCGGGACCGAAGGTTCCAAAGCTGCCCAACCCGATCACAAAAACACTCGGCTTAAAACGTGTTCAACCAAAGCCTTCGCCGGAAGCCCTTGAGCCCTTCCGCTCGAACAGCCTCGCCTGCAGAGCCCGAGGTGCGAGAGTCCAAACCCTAACTCGGTAAATCCAAGCCCCGTGAATCCGAGATCCCAAGTGTGCTAAGGTCTGAAGCCTTATATTCCTAGCGCGCGAACCGCAGACCTGTTTCTCCCCCAAACCTAATTGACCATTTACTGAGCATTCAAACCCTCAGGAGGAAAAGAAAAACCCTCAACCAATTCGCTAACTCCCGGAGCCTCAAGAGAGGTTGCGCCAGCTGCCAACCCTGGATTTCTTCGAGGCAAAGTTCCGAACATCATCAAACCGAGAGCCTTACTGGGTTCTTACAAAATGTGGGTGAATTTCAAGCCGGGGTTTTGGGGGTGGTTGAAGGAGTTTATGTGAGTGACCACGGCAAGAAGAGCGTATCACTTGCTAGAAGTAATGTATCCATTTCATGGAATACTCCTACCCTAATTGTGAACTCTTATCAGGCCCTCATCAAAACCCTTCCAGAGCCGTTTGCGACGTTTGATTAGCCCTCCCCACCCCTCCAGCCCTCCCCAAAAACGAGACCCAAGCCCCTAAACCCTAAGCCCTGGAACCCCTTACAACCTCAACCCAACAAAAACCCCCCCTAAACCCTAAACCCTAAACCCTAAACCCAAGGTTCGAGGGTTCAAGAACCCCCGAACCCGCGAGTCTCAGGTGGTCCAAGCCATGGTAAGGTTCAACCGGGACTCTATGGCGCCTGGGCATTCAAGCCATGATCCGGACTAGAGGGCCCTCAGAAGCGTAACTGTGTTCTTGAAGCTTTCTGAGAAGGATTCCTCATGGGGTTTGTAGGGTTGTCAGCATAGAAGCCTCAAGAAGCAGAGTAGTATTGAATGGGGCTTTGGGGCTTGTTATGGATCAATGAACTTAGGCATAAGGGGATATTATTACACCAAGCTTGTTGCAAGCTCACTCCCTAAACGGATAATGCAGTTCGGCCATTCGGGTTTCATAAGGTTTAGGAGAAAAGTGGCCTGGGGTTAGAACCTCAAGCAGATGTAAGCAACAAAGCCCTAAAGCGGATGTCCGTAAACCAGAAGCCAGGGTATGGAAAAAAGGTAATTCACAGGCGAGCAGCGTGCTTCCCTTCCCCTAAGCTTTACGCCCTGAATCACAATGCACCCCAAACCCCACATCCTACATCCGGAACCCCAAATCCGGTATAAGGTTGTGCTGGAGTTCCTCGCTGTGCAGTTGGGTTTAGGGTTGAGGGGGGGGGGGGGGGGGGGTGAGGTTCGTGTGCAGGGGGTGCCCGGTTGAAGTGGCAGACGCGCAAGTAACATGATACTCGAATCCGCACCCTACAAGAAGCGAGCCTTTGACTCTGAGAAGCCAATGTCTGCTTGTGTGTCTTCCGTGCTTAGCTTAATCTTACGACGCCGCGCTCTGCCGACATTGTGGCTCATCAGGTGCTCTTGGGAGTTTGCCGGTGTGCCAGATTTTTTTGTGATTGTCACCCAGCCGCCGTGGCTTTTCTTCTTGCTTCCGCTTTTGAGTGCACCCGGCTCCCAGTGGCGCCAGTGTAATTCCAACCTGGTCTTCCGTTTCTGCATTGAGTTTTCCAGGGCACCCTCGGGCGTGCCCGCGTAGGCTCCCAGACGTCGGGGGCTGTCTGTTGAACGATCACAGACCAGCTCCCGGCCTAATTCCTTGGAAGTGGCCACTCGGCAGCTGATCTTTGAGTTTTGTTTTTACAGGTTCATAGTGTCCAGACTCTAAACCCCAAAGCTGAAACCCCGATCTCGAACCTTGAGCTCGTCTCCCTTCGGCAGCGCTGAACCGCCTGGCTCCTGCTTCTACACCCCCCGGTTTTGGGGGATTCTATGCCATGAATATTTCAGGGAACCCAAAGGCAGGGCAGTGTAAACAAATTGCGGTTTTCGCACGCACAAACACACAGACTCTCTCTCTCTCTCTCTCTCCGTCTCTCTCTCTCTCTCTCTGTCTCTCTCTCTCTCTCTCTCTCTCTCTCTCTTGCTCTGTCTGTCAT